GGAAAGAGGAAGGTGCTGTCACTGTCTGCAGGACTTTAGTCTTTCAGCTTCCACCAATAATATATCAAAATCCTGATGATGCCTCGTGGTTGGTCAAGTTCCCCACCCTCAACTTTGGGAGAGGTCATATGCCTGTTCTGGCCAATGGGATGCACCACCGGCAAAGGTTTACCATTGTTTGTGCACTAACCCTATGCTACTGCACCCAAGTCATGATCATGAGAAACCTAACCTGGGTAGACGCTGGGTCTTTGGCATTAAGCAGAACCAGGTCAGCCAACAGGTGCATGAGCTAGGAACACTTATAGTTGCATGCAACTGAAATTTTGTAGTTGTGACAAAGCAAAAGTTGACTGAGAAGCTGAGTTAAATGAGTAGAAACGGACAAGAGGGAGACGAGGCATTCTGAAGATAGGAAACCAGCAGAGAGGGAATGGGATTACTATTGTTTAGCTGAGCTTTTTCAACATGAATTTTGGGGACAGAAATCAAGCAAAGAGCTTGTTTGTTGTGGGACATTACAAGCATTGATCCAAGAGCATTTGTGTGTGTGTGTTTGTGTGTGTTTACTACAGTCAGGAGAGAGACAAAGAGAGAAGAAGAGAAAGTGAGAAATTGTCCTTTGAGAAGGTCAGCCACACCGTTAATCCCTTCTCCTCCATTCTCCTCTTGGAGTTTTGGGTACACACACACACACACACACACACACACACACACACACTCCTGGCATGTTTATCAAGCCATCGGTTTCAGGATCTGAGCCACTCAATTGGCTGTGTGGAATCCAGCTGCCCTAACTACCACTGACTGGCCTCAAAGAGCATCTTTTCTATCGTGTGTGTGTGTGTGTGTGTGTGTGTGTGTGTGTGTGTGTGTGTAAAGATGTTTCTTGTTTAATAGTAGGTGCTGGTTGTGGTTGCTCATTAGGAGAGAACTTTGCCTAATTTTTTTTAGTGCAACAGGATACATTGCTGTTTGCCAAAGAACTGTCCCATATTCCCCATCTGTGAAATTGAGATTAACACACTAAGCTATCGCAAAGGTTTTTTTTCCCCAAAAAGAATAATGAAAAAAAAAATTGAAAACATTTAAGAAATTCAAAGTAATAAATAATAATTATTTGTGATAAATGAAATAAGAATCGCTTTGCCAAGAATCATGAGTTAGATTATAGCCCGATTATTTGTGAGGAACAGCTAATAAGAATCATTTAAATGTCTAATTTTCTACTGACTGACTCCTTACCAGATCAAAATTACTAGCAAATACGTATCAACCATTGTGAAATGGAATGATATTCACGGTAATCAGCTTAATCTCCTCCTAGGATACAGTTGAGCAGGACTGTCAGAAATCACATACCATTGCAGACTGGTGTGGTACTTTCATTTAGGGAGAAAAACACTTTTCTCCTGGGAGAGAAGGCCCTGGAAGGATACCAGTCTGGGGGCTCCTGACTTACGGTCAGAGGGCTAGATGATGTGATATTTGTACTAGTATAATTTCAAAAGATTGCTGATTTACTGATGCACAGTGGTAATAATAATAACAAAAATAGCAATAATAATAATAGCTGCTACTTATTGAGCAACTACTATTATTCAAATCTATTACTTTCATATATATTATCTTATCCTTAGCATTTATTTTGTACAATTCTTTATAAGTAATTCATGCCAGTAAGTGCTTAATGAATGAATGGATACTTATACGGTAAGTATTGTAACTTCTCACGGATAAGGGAAAAAAAAGTGATCAAAAGAACTTAAATTTGGGTACTCAATGACAGAGCCAGAATTTAAAGAAACTTTTCCAGAATACAAAGCCTAGTCTCTTTCTATATGTCTTGGTCCCTGTCCAGTATACACTCAAAGTTCAGAATGTAAACTAACAGAGTTTTTACTCCTTTCCATATTTGTTAGTATGTTTGCCACTTTCCATAATGTAAAGAAACAAAAACAAAAAGCAAACAAGATGAAGCACAGCAAGACCTCGTATTCTGAATTAATCACTATTATGGAGCATGTTCCTTTCCAGCCACTCCACTAACCACTATACCTGTATTAACTCAGTTAATCTTCACAACCCTCAGAAATAGATACTACCCTTATTCCCCCTATTTCACCGATGAAACATATAAAGTACAAAGAAGTTAGATAAATTGCCAAGGTGCAAAATTCTTATGAGACAGAACCAGTATCTGAACCCAGGCAGGCTGACTCCAGAGCCTATTTGCCTAAAGTTTGATGCAATTTACTTACTAGCTACAAGGTGCTTATGATTTGGGGGCTTGCTTTCTTTGTTCTCTGCTAAAATGGCTCTTCTTGTTAATATGCTGCTGTAGCAATGCCTTGTCTAGGGGATTACCTCCTGGATCTTTGCATTCTACATTATTATTCATCCATCTTTCTGGACCGCAATATGATAACTGAGCTTAGTTATTAAAATAATCGAATTCCTTCTACATCTGAATGCATTTTTTATCAACCTTCTCCCCCTTGCCTTAGACCAAAATACAAGCACACACACAGAGAAATCATCTTGAGGAGGAAAAAAGATCCACCAGCTTGTATAAAACATGAGCAATTGAGTCTAGTTAATCTCAAGATACAATTTTAACCGGGCAGGCATAGATTCAGGTCATGAGTGAGTATTTTCAACCATCCTTGTGTACAAAGGATTTCACCTCAGCAGTATTAGCATAATCTTTAAATAGACATCAAAAAACAAAACCGTGGCTAGAAAAAAACCTTGAGAGGTCATCTAATCCACCCCTACTGCTAGAAAGGGGTGCCTGAGCCAGCCAAAAAAGAGCTTTCTAAGCTTTCATCTCTTCAGAATGTTATAAGCGTCTTTGTTAATATTTCAATGCTTCACACCGCTCATTTTAGGGGGAATTTCTGAGGCCTGGATATGGTGCTTTTGACCTTGGCAACAGTTTTGTCCATGCCATTATAGGGCAGGAAGACAACACAATAATAATAGTCATACAATTTTCTGAACTTGCTCCTAGAGAATTTAGTAATATGGAATATACCAGACTCCTCTCTCTTAATATAATGCCATTCCTTGAACAGAGAGTTAGAGTTAATGTATTGATCAGCCATATTTGAGTATTATTGTTTCTATGTTGCAGATCAGAACTGAAGCTCAGTGGAGTGAATAAGATCCAGACCTACTGAGTCTAAATCCCCCCAGTTCTCCCACTAAACCACTCTAGATAGGAGGGTGATCTTCTGGTAGTTTCTTTACCTCTGGGGCATCTTTAACAGAGGTTGGCCATGGTGCAATTAAGCAGTAAAAGAAAGTTTTCATGTGCTGTTTGTTGAAGTTAGGCACGACAAAATTGCCCACACATATTTCAGCTCCCAGTGAGGTTGTAAAATGGAATTAGCTGGTAGTGAGGGGTGTAGAGAGAGGACTGACTTATCTCTTCCACACTGCTTTAAGATATTTTAATGAGCAGGATGAGCACAGGGCATAATGGTTACATCACTGGATTCCCACATAGTTGACCGTGATTTGAGTCCCAGACCCGGCAGCTTAAAACTCACTCTGGGAGGATGTGTGTACGTGCCCAGAATCCCAAGAGGAGAAGGGATTGCAGCATGGCCATCCCCTCTGGGGGGTGATTTCTCACGTTCTGTCTCTCTGTTTCTCCTGCAAGCACATATGCCCTATAGCGAAAACCTCTCTACTTAAAAGAAGAAAAAAAAAAAAAGACATTTTAATGAGTATATATCACATAACATCTGTGTCTTTTTTAAAAAAATAATTATTTATTTATTTATTATTATTGTTATTTTTCACATGAATTTTGCCAAAGATAGAGAAAGAGAGAGAGTGAGTGAGAAAGCAAGCCACCAGGTCCAGGACTCAAACCATGGTCAGCCATGTGGCAGGAAAGTAAAAGAACCACCAGCACTTATGGTAGAATGTTAGAAGACACAGGACAATGTCCATACTAACCAAAGACCTTTATTTACATTAAATAGTAGGTGCCAGTTGGAGCCAGCAGGTAGCATGGTGGTTATGGTGCTGGATTCCCACATGGCTGACCACAGTTCAAGCCCCAGACCTGGCAGATTGAAAATCATGCCAAGCATGTGTGACACCAACCATGTGTATGTGCATGCTCAAATCCTGAGAGGAAAATGAAGGGACTACAACGTGGCCATGCCCTCTGGGGAGTGATTTCTCACTTTCCCTCTCTATATCTCTCTCTGGTGAGTACAGGCACTCTATAGCAAAAAACATAAAATAAAACAAAATAAAATAAATCACTAGGTGTCAGCATAAATAACAAATCAGTTTCACTTCCTCCTTCTAGAGAACCGATGGCTTGGAACATTAGGGAAATTCCATTAATTTACTGAATTACAGTATGGATATTATAAAGAAAAAAGGGCTAGATTAGTTGACCAATAATGGTTATATTATATTTTAGTTATATTCCTTCCTTATATTGTATATGGATGATGCACCCAGAGTTGTACAAGGCAGTAATCCTGCCTAGCAGAGTAGCTACTTACCAAACATCTGAGAAACAGGCAGGAGCAAGAAAAATGCCATTTGAAAAGTTGTTTGATCTATCCTATTAGGAAAACTTAGATCTGTGGTTCCCATGTGAGGTTATTTTGCTGTCCAGAAAACATGTGGCAATGTCTAGAGACATTTTCGGTTGTCCCATCTGGAGAAGGAAGTGCTATTAGAATTTCATAGGAAGAAACCAAGGCGCTGATAAACATTCTGCAATGCACAGGACAGCCCCTCATACCCCAGCAAAGAATTACCCTACCAATCAATAGTGCCAGGGCTGAGAAACTTTAACAAAGGGTATCTGGGTGCTGATATATAAATATTCACAGACATATTATTTCTTCGCTTATAACATTAAAAAAAAATCCACATTTGATTACAAATGATTTGATCTACATACCAGCAATACAAAGAGTTGCATTGGTACCACCAAAACCAAAAGAATTGGTGAGTCCAATACGTCTTTTCTCAGTTTTCCATTCCTGTGCCTTGAGTGGAACATAATTGAGATCAAATTCTGGTTCTGTACAATCCAGGTTTAAAGTAGGCGGTAGTTTTTTATAATAGCACGCTAGTGTGGTAAAAGCAGCCTCAACAGCCCCTGCTGCTCCCAGGAGATGTCCTGTGGCTCCCTTAGTTGAAGAAATTGCAAGGGAAGATGCGTGGTCTTTGAAGAGGTGTTTAATAGCTTTGTTTTCAGCAGCATCTCCCAATGGTGTGGAAGTAGCATGTGCATTGACATAGGATATCTCTTCCAGCTGTACACCTGCATCTTTTATAGCAGCAGCCATACACCTACACAAGAAAGAAAAAAGAAAACTATCAGAACTAAGTTTAATTTTTTGTGTTTTATTTTGTGTGTGTTGGGGGATATTTTCAGACAAGACCTAATCTGTCACAATCCCCCTGCCTCAGCCTCCCAAGTAGCTAGGACCACAGGCAGGCACCACGACTCCTAGTTTTTTAGAGTAGTCTGAAAATCAAATCCGGGTTTCCCACGTGGCCTCAGCCTGCCACGCAACAGCCTCTAGCACATGCTACCGTGTGTGGCCTGAACTAAGTTTAATTTTAACAGGAGAGTCTTTATCTGTATGGCTTATATGGGAAAACGTAGGTATCCAAGTACACTGGATGAAGAGTCCTTTGCTCTAATAAGAGAATCCCATTTTCAATGTGAGTTGGAATACCGTACCATCTGCCTGGGAAAAATGAGTTACACCCAGTACCTCAGACTGACTCACCACCGTGAGCTAAACACACAAGCCTATGGACTGTATAATTTCTAATAAAATATCATCTTTTTTGGCCTTAACTAATATATAATAAAATCCAATTTTCATAAGTATGTTCAAATGTTTTCAAATGCTTAAAGCAAGTAACTAAAAAAAACAAATTTTATACATTTACTCTAAAATGGAACCAAAGATACTGGACACGTAGGCCAGATACTACAATTTTCCCTAATTTGGGACTTCGACAAAGTTTCTTACTTGAAGAAGTATTCAGAACAAAACAATCAGTCTTTACCTTAAGGCCCCTTCTCCTTCAGGATCAGGAGCCGTTATGTGACCAGCATCGCCTGAGAGTCCATAGCCCAAAACTTCTGCATAGATCCGGGCCCCTCTCTGAATAGCATGTTCGTGTTCTTCCAGCACCAGCACGGCTGCGCCTTCTCCCATTACAAAACCATCTCTTTCTGGATGAAATGGCCGACACGCCAACTTAGGATCTGAGTTCGTGCTCAGAGCTCGGGCTCTGGAAAACCCAGCAAGAGATAAAGGGCTAATGCAGGAATCTGTACTTCCAGCCAACATCACGTCGGCATCACCATGGGCTATGAATCTAAAAGAGTCTCCCACAGCATGAGCTCCTGTGGTGCAGGCTGTGGACACTGCATGATTGGGACCCTTGAGTTTATATCGAATGCTGACCTGGCCTGCTGCCATATTGATCAGAATCTTAGGGACAAAGAACGGGCTGACTTTATTATAACCTTTTGTCTGAAACATCAAAGCAGTTTCAGAAACGACTTCAAGAGGAACCATTCCCATGCCAATTGCAACACCAGTAGTTGCTTGGTCAGCTTCGGATTGAGGATGCCAGCCGGAATCTTTAATGGCTAACTCTGCAGCCCCAATGGCCATGATGGTAGGAGAAGACATAGACTTGATTTCTGACTTGGACACGAAGTTTTGTTCATTGAACTGACCTTCATCACCACCTCTTGGCACATACGCAGCAACACTGCAAGGAATACTCTTATACTCTTCACCAGTGAGTGAAACAATTCCACTTTCTCCTCGGATAAGACGCTCCCAAACCAGTTGAGTTCCAACACCCAGAGGAGTCACTAAGCCAATGCCTGTAATGACAACCCGCCTTCGAAATTTGGACGTTGCTGCAGTGCCAAAGAGCCTCCTTTTACTTCTTGTTAACCGCTGGCATAATCTTGGGTAGAGAAGATGAGGGCTTGTAGTTTTTAGGAAATTTGCTAAGCAGTTTGACAACATGGTTGAGATTCAGGTAATCGGAAATATATTCCTATAACAGACCACAAACACACACGGGGGATACATTAAAAATCCAAGAAGCAACACTGGAGGTGTTCTTTTGCATGTTTCATGTGAACTGTGCAGGGAAACTAATGTTCTATCATTTAACTTTGTAATTCATCAGCAAACTATGTGTAGATTTAACTCTTTTTTCAGACCGTAAGGACCTTCACAGAGTCAAAGACAGATAAATTCAATGAGCCAAATCAGCAAGTGCAACAAAAAACTGAAAGGCACCCCTAGCCTGATGTGGGGCGTAGGACCCATCCACTTTTCAGGATCACCGAGGACTTATTCTCAAAAGCATTTCTGGTGTCAGTGGCACTCAGAACACGTTTCAAGGCCAATTCTTTGAAGCGGGACAAGTAGGTGTTTTCAATGTTCAATACTTAAAGATGTTGGGCCACTTTTTGAAAACCCCGCCGGGACCAAGAGCTTCAGATTAAGCGTCTGGAGACTTGGGTGGAGAATCGACTCTGTGACAACGCTTGGGACTGCGGGATAGGGACGGGTCTCTCCACCCCTCTCACCTTCTCTAACCGGGTCATCCCGGGGAAGGACAGGCTAGAGATCACTCCAGGGGTACCGGAGGCCAAGGGCGGAGAGCACGGGGGAGTGACCGAGCCCAGAACCGCCTCTCAAGCGCCCCCGAATCCCCACGAGAAGAAAGCATGGCGAGAGGCAAATAAACAGGGCCCCCGGTCCTCCGGTTATCCTCTGGAAACCTAACCCGACCCTGTCTGGCGGTGGAGACGTAGCAAGAGGAGCAGAGAGCAGCTGATACCTGTCCCAGGGCGCGCGCAGGCCCCGCACCCACCGTCCTCCGCGACGACGTTCGCTTTGCGCACGCGCGCGCGCGCACGTACGCACGCACGCACGCACGCGCTCGAACGCATGCGTCATCCGAGGCGCCTGCAGCAGGTTGACCAGGCGTCTTGTCACCTTGGCCGCGATCAGGCGCTTAGCATTAGCCGGGTCCCTGTTTACAGTCGCAGAGAAACGTCCCCGTGACCTCACTGACTCTCAGATAAGTGAGGATGTGCAGGTAACGCGAGGAGTTAGCGTGGTCGCCTATTTCAAAGGATTTAAAAACGGGGTGACGATGTGAACGTCGGAAAAGGGACGCCATCATATATTCCAGTTCTAGGAAACAGAGAAATAGCCTCCAAGTTACTACTCTGCCTCCCGAAGTTAAGTACAACTACAAAAACCAAGCAAAACGCCCAGAGATTGGTTGTGTATTTTGTGGTGCTTCCTAGTGCAGGCATTTAAAATAATTTCATAGTGGAATATTAATGTGCAAACATATTGAGACCGTTTGTTGGGACATATACATTACAGAGTTGTATATATCTCTTTTTAAAATAAACCTCTAGGGCCAGCAGGTGGCTGGTTAAGGCACTGGACCCCACGTTGTCCGATTCCCTGGTTCAAGTCCTGGAACCGGTGACCTGAGAGACACGGCTGGCGCATGTGCACGTGTGCCCAAAATCTGGAGAGAGATGGAAGAGAAGGGATTGTGGAATGGCCATCCCACCCACCTCACACTTGCACATTTCTGACTTTTCATCTCTTTGTCTCTGACTTTTCATCTCTTTGTCTCTGTCTCACAGAGACAAAGTAGATTAACCTTATGGCAAAAATCTAATAAAGACAAATGTTTAAAGGTCCGCCAAGATATAAAATGATTGCAGTGTCCCGCCCACCCCCCCCTCATTTTAGTCTTATTAATACCTTTTGTGTAATGATCAAATTTTTACATTTTTTTTTTTAAGAGAGATTTTTGCTATAGGGCTCTTGCACTCACGGGAGAGACAGAATGCAGGAAATCACCCACCGGGGGCATGGCCAGGTTGCAAATCCCTTCTCTTTCATTCTCCTCTCCAGATCTTGGGCACTGACACCGGGCATGAGTTTGAAGGCACAGTCAGGAACTTGAGGAATGGTCAACTACGTGGGAGCCCAGCCACATAACCATTAGGCCACCTGCTGGTCCCTCAAGTTTTTACTTTTTAAAAATTGTCGCCAAATCTGGGGCAGTGCTCAAAATATCACACCCAATGTCTGACAAGAATGCAAACAAGAATAGAGAAGAATGTTGACATTTATTCAAAGTGTGAAAAATTCGTTAAATTGATTTGTTTAGGGCTGGCTGTGAAGCTATCGAAAAATGTAACATGAGGGAAGAAGCCAAATATTATTTATTGACAATCTGTCATTTACCCACTATCTTCTGTGTGAATTTTGCTAGTCATGTTTGTTTCTGGGCACTGCTTTTTGAGGAGGTTGTTTCCAAGTATAGTGTTCTACCTTCTTTCCCACCTCTAGAGAAGAATTTGGGTGAAGTTTAGCTTTTCCTGGTTAGTTTTGGATTGAAGTGGATTTGGAAATTTGTCCGAAATCGTTCAGTTGACTTTGAGTCATCTTTGATCCCTGGCCTGGGCTGTCACTTCTTGGGATGACCCTCATTCCATAAGAAGAATTAGAACAAGTACATGTGGTTATAACTAAAACCTGATGAGTGAAAAAGTACCCAAACTTGCTCTCTCCTCTCTTTATTGATGTACAATCCTTTAAGTGTGAAGAAAATGTACAGTACTTTCTTTGATGCTAAATTCATAGGAAACCTTTCACCAGAATAACATGATCAGATGTGTGCTTTAGAAAGACCACTGTGGGGGCCTGCAGGTAGCACAGTGGTTAAGGAGCTGGAATCCCACATGACTGACCACAGTTCAAGTCCCAGACCCAGTGGTTTGAAAATCACTCTGGATGTGTGTGCATGTCTGCCCAGAACCCCAAGAGGAGGAGAAGGGATTGCAACATGGTTATCCCCTCTGGGGGATGATTTCTCACTTTCTCTCTGTGTATCTCTCTGTCGCTCTGTCTCTGGGAAGCACACACATTTTATGACAAGAGAGAGAGAGAGAAAGGCCACTGTGGCAGCAGTGTACAGAATGGATTAGAAGGATGAGGGAATGCACAGATGGAAGACAGTTAAGATTGGATAAAAGATGACAAGGTCCTGAACTAAGGTAATAGCAAGGAGGAGACCTATTGGAGCTGTTGACAAATATTTCTAGAATATCGTCCGTGGATTCGCTCACAGTAGGCAAGTCCTCTCCTTCCTCACCTCCATAACCTCTTAATTTAAGAGTTTTGTTCAAATTCTCCTTTCTTCATGAAACTACTGTCCACAGTGATATTTTCCTAATACTTAACTAGTGCTTCTCAGAAGCTACTGTGCATCAAAAGTTACCTGAAAGGGGCCAGCAGGTGCTGGTGTGGTGGTGGCACTGGAGTCCTGCATGGCAGACTGTGGTTCGAGTCCTGGACCCAGCAGCTTGAAACTCATGCCAGGCACATGTGCATGCGTGCCCGGAATCCCAAGAGGAGAATGGAGGAGACAGGATTGTAGCATGACCATCTCCCCTAGGGTGTGATTTTTCACTTTCTCTCTTTCTGTGTCTCTGGCGAGCACATGTGTCCTATAGCAAAAATCTCCCTAAAACTTTTTTTCCTCAAAGGCTTGTTACCACATAGATTGCTGGGCCCTACCTTTAAAGATGGGGCTTGAAAATTTGTCTTTTTCAAAATTTCCTGGCGATGCGGATTTTCCTGATCTTATGACTGCTCAAAACTCACTATGACTTCCATGAAAGCAGGGACCGTGCTTTTCTCTTTTACTGCCTCACAGTACTTGGAATTTAGTAAATCACATTATAAATATTTAGTGAATGAATGTATTATAGAACGAGTGGATAAACAAAGACCCTCACATTAGCAAGTATGTGTGCACTTTTTTTGTATTTCTTACCAAATGACTTTTTTCTCTTTACAATAACTCTTTTGTTCCATTAACTAAAGTGCTGTGTATAAGTTATTATCTTAGTCTTGTCTTCCCTTCTAGATTAAAAGTCTTTTATGCCCTCTAGGCTCAGATTTCTTTGTGCATAGCACGCATTGAATAAATAGCTGTTGGTTAATCACTTAATGAAATCCCCAAAAGTGAATTACCTACCACACTAATTCCTGACAGGCTTTAATTTCTCTCCTAACTAATGGTCTTTTTTAAAAACAACATTTTTTTGCATTTATTCTATGCATTTAAAAAGAGTACCACCACATGTCAACTCTGAAGATGACGTTTTTAGGGGTTTGTTGTTGTTTTGTCTTTTTTTTTTTTTCTTAAGAGGTTTTTTTATATAGGGAGAGTCAGAGAAACAGAAAGCGAGTAATCCCCCCTGCCCTGGGGGGGATGGCCACACTGCAATCCCTTCTCCTCTATCCTCCTCTTGTGATCTTGGAGCATGCACGCATGCACACATACTTGGCAAGAGTCTGAAGCCACTGGGTCCAGGACTCGAACTGCAGTTGACTACGTGGAAGTCCAGCAACGTCACCATTACTCTATCTGCTGGTCCCAAAATGATGTTCTTAATAAAGATGGAATCCTGGGGGGGAAATCATTCTTGGGAGAAAATAAATACATACATAAAAGAACAGGAAGTTGCTAGCTTATTTAATAGTAGACTAGACTATCCTTTAGTTTTTTGAAGCAATGATGGGTATTTAGAGATTAAATACCTCCAACTTTTCTTTTTTCTTTTTTTTTGTATCATAATTATCAGAGGGTACATGTGTTTGCCAGCGACAAAGAAAGAAAGAGAGAAAGAAAGCCCTCCACAGGCAGGCACAGTTATGCCACAATCCTTCTCCATTTCTCTATCCTGTTGAGATTTGGGGCATGCATGCACATGTGCCCTGCATGGTTTTAAAAGCCCAGATTTGAACTGTATGGTCAGCCATGCAGGATCTGGCTCTTAGCCATTAAGGCTCCCTCAACTTCCCTAAAGAAAACTGAAGGATCAAAATATCAACAACTTGACTACAGTGGAGAAAGCAGAGAGGGAAAAGAGTGAGACACGGTCCCTTATTATAATGAATTCCCTTAATAAGTTCAGTAAGTTCAGAAATGGTGCTATCCAAAAGAGATTGTAGTTATCTAAGAATTTTAACAGAAGTGTTAGGAGTTATTTAGAAGGACTTAAATTTCAGGGTTGTTTTTTTTTTTCTTTAATGCACTGGTGATTTCTATAACTTTATATTATTTCCATACATTATTTTCAAAGTATTAATGCTATGACTTTGGTTTTCACATCATGGTTGCCTGTTCCCTCAAAAAGTACCCGATGGTCATTCTGTCTGTCAAGGAAAAGGCTGAGCCAATAGCATTTTGTCACTCCCATCCTACCCCTGCTTCAATTCTAGAGTGTTCGTGTGTGGTGTTTTACAGAGAGATTCTTCCTACAATTTTGTTTGAAATAAGATTCTGTTGCTTAAAAAAAAAAAAAAGGTCACAAATATTGCATAGTATATTAATGTTAATATTCTCCCATAACTATGACAGGGACAAATAAGTGTCCCAGTGGAAAAAGAAACCCAAGTTAAGGGGAACAAGCTTGTGGTAGAGACTGCTAGTTGTGACCCCCAGCCCTGTACCCTCTTTCATAGTGCAGGCACCTGTCCAGCCAGGGACTACGTTTCCCAGCCTCCCCCCTTCTATCTAAATGGGGCCTTATTTTTGGGGCAAAGATCTAATAGAGAAATGCTGAATAGGTATGCCATTCTAGGCTCATGTGGTTAAGAAGTAGATATGCCTTTTCCCAACCATTAACTAAATGAGGACATCTCTGACCTTTATGGCAGGAATGAGCAAACTATAGTCTATACCCAAAACCAGCAGGTGCCTGTTTCTATAATAAAATTTCACTAGAGCATAGCCACACCCATTCCTTTTAAAGTACTGTCCACGGAGCTACAACAGCAGAGGCAGTTAA